CCCAGGCTGCAGGGTGGCTGCTTGCAGGCCTTGGGCGGGGTGACCCCTTCCCTGGGGCCCTGTCAGGGGCACACGGCCAGTCCCTGTTAGGCACTGTGAGTCGTTTTGCTGAAGCGATGGGAAACGGGAAGCTGTTACTCTGCGAAAGGGCTGATCCTTTGCCAGGAGTTCTCTGTAATTCCCACTGCTCGGGGCTTTCCAGGGCTGGATACACCCAGTGTGACACCTGGGCAGGTCCTGTGCCTCCCGCCCAAAGTCTGGTAACCAAACCCTGCCTCAGAGCACCCCGCAGAGCCCGGTGCGGGGAGAGGCAGAAGTCTGCTCTAGCCCAGAGGGAAGAAGATTTTGGGATGGTGATGGCAAGAAACTTAGGGTGCGACTTGTGTGCCAGCAGGGATGGCGGACAGGAGCCAGGACCGGAGCCTGCGGGAGGAGCTGACGTGTGCCATCTGCTGCGAGCTCTTCAGTGAGCCCGTCATGCTGGACTGCATGCACCACTTCTGCAAGGCCTGCATCCAGGGCTACTGGGAGAGCTGTGCCCGCGTCCCATCCTGCCCCCAGTGCCGCCGCGAGTTCCCCAGCCCAGCTTTCCGCACCCACTACCTGCTGTCCGGGCTGGTGGAGAAGGTGCGGCGCTGCGGCTCCGAGGAGCACCGGCACAAGATGCAGGTGAGTGGCTTCTGCCTGGCTGGGGGAGAAGGGGACAAGCACCACGTGAGACCTGTGCAGCCACTGCAAGCCCACCACCACCTCCTTCTGCTTTTGGTTCCTCCCCGGGGAATCCCATGCGTGCCTCACCTGACCCGAATGCAGTGGCATCTGCATCTCTTCCTGATTCATTCTCTCTCCCTGTTTCCTTCCAGCTGTCTGTCTGTTGGACGCTTTTTACTCTTGCATTTGTTTCTCTCACTGCTGCACCCGACTTCCATCGCAGCCTCATTATTTCTGAGGTAGGGACCACGTAGACAGGGATGAGGGATGCTTGTGTCAGATGCGCTGCTTGAGGGGTCAGTCCCTGCACATAGCACACAGGGTTTAAACCTTCTGCAAACAGGTATCCAGGCTGGAGCTTCCAGTCTTAAAAATAAATTTTTTTCATTATATGCATACATGTGTAGTTGTCAACCCTGTGTATCAGCTTCTTTCTTCTCCTTACTGACTTTGTAAGAAATACTGTTGCCTCCCTCTAATGCTGGCCTCAGGAATTGGGATTGCTCCTAAATCATAGCAGAGTAGTGAAATGGTCTGCTCACCTTCTTTTCCTCGTTCCTGCAGAAGCACCTGGAAGATGCTTTGCAAGCTCGTCAGAAGGAGATGGAGAACTTCTTGCGGAAGAAGCGTGCGATGCAGGAAGATATCTGTGGCCTGACGGTAATGCCCTGTGATAGCTGCTTTTTGTACAGCCTCTGGGTTAATGTTCATAGAGGATCTGTGTATCACTTCAGCTGAGACTTAGCTTAGCTTCCTGTAAAAATGTAGATTAATAACTCTGTAGGGTTCTGAACAAACTCCCCCGCACAGAGGCCAGAGCCCATCGCTACTGAATATTCAGTGGAGGCTTTGGGAAGAAGCATTGAGCACTTGTTAATGCAGTGTTTACAACGTGCATTGGTGCAGCAGAGCTGAGACGGGGTGAACGGTGAGAGGTGTCAGGTGAGCAGGCTGTTCTGGCCCTGCAGCGCTGCCCCTTTGGGAGAGGGTTAATTCTTGGAAGTTCCAAAGTCCTCTTCTGTGTCTGAAGGGTTGGCAGCAAAGCTGAAGGAGCTGGGTCAGTGGCAATGTTGGCGCTGCAGAGAGCAGTGGCCTTGTCACAAGGACTGTGTTTGGATGCACTGTGAAGTTCTGAGACGATGTGAGGAGCCTGAGTGCTCTCTATGGGCTCGAGTGGCACCAGGCTGCCTACCTGTCACTGATCAATGAAGCAAGAGCAGACATAGGCTGACTGCACTTCCTTCTTGAGTAATATAAAAGTATTAAAAGCCAAGGAAGGAGAGTTTAAGGAAAATGGAAGTAGTTCAGAGTTGAGATAAAACTGATGGGAGACTGTCTTCTGACTGGAGTCTCTGATCCCCCTGCCTGCACTGTTTCATATCTATATCCCACTGCCAGATTTGGAATAGACCTTTGAGGTTAATGAAGAAGTATTAGCAAACAAGGACATGTGGCTGATGTCCCGTTGCAGTAGAAGAGCTGACTAAGAGGTGTTTCAAGACTAGGGGAGCAAATAGCTGATCTGAACAGGGAGGCTACGCATGTCCTCTGCAGTTCTGGAGTGTCACAACAAGCACCTGCTAGAGCAAAGGGAGGCTAGGGTGCCGTGCCGGCTAGTGAAGCTTCAGATGTACTCTGGGGGAGATGGGTTTCCTGCTGGTAGAAAGGGATGTGCGTTTCAGGAAGCGCTCCTCCAGAAAATAATGAGGGCTAAGGTCACATTTAGAGATTAAAAGCTTAAAGATTGGGAAAATAGAAAGTCATTGGCTGTCCATTGTCAACAGGCAGGAAGGCAGTGAGAGCACCACAAGGCTGGCTGGCTGACTCAACAACCAGAAAAAAGTGACCTCTGAAAAGAGCTGAATGGGATTTTGTCAGCCTTAACTACAGAGATCAGTTTGTGCAGCTCCCCCATCTCTCCCATACAAACAGGAGACCTGAGAGACACAGGCATCAGAGAAAAAGAGCAAGTGATCAGTGTCAGGCAGCTCTGTCCAGGGTCTGGCACAAGGTGAAATAAATCCTAACTAACCTGAACAGCTGAGTCTGCAGCTCCAGAAAAGCAAAAGAGCTCCAGTCTTGCACACAAGCAAATTCCTGGTGGTGTGGGAGAGGGCTGTGGGCTCCCAGTGTGGCTGTGTGAAAGGATTTCTAGTTAAGGTGACCAAGCCATCGGTAGAGTAGGGGTTTTTTGGTTTGGTTGGGGTTTTTTTCACCCTTTGGCTCTGCAGCCTTGAAAGTTGTCCTTGCATCCTGTTTTCCACCCAAAAAGTTGCAGGTATGTCCGAGAGGCTCTTAATTTCCAGGACTCTGTAAGCAAAGTAATAGGCCCAGCCATCTTGTGCACCTACTTGTGTGTTTTAGTTGCCAGACTCATCTTCTGCCTTTGCCCTCTGTTCAGAAGGTGTCTGGGGAGCTGAACTTCAAGATCCGGGCAGAGTTTGCCCGCCTTCATCAGATCCTGGAGGAAAAGGAGAGCGCTGTGCTGGCAGAACTGGGTGAAAAGGAGGAGCAGTTGCTGGCACGGCTGCACAGGAACGTCCACCAGCTGGAGGAGGGGATGTCGGTGCTGCAGAGGGACATAGAACACATAGAGCAGACCCTGAGCAAGGTGGAAGAAGTGTCATTGCTGGAGGTGAGCACGCCTGGCTGACCCTGGCAGAAGGCTGAGGGATGTTTCAGGATCTGAATTTGGGATGGGGAGAGTCCCGAGTGACAGCACTAGGCTGGAACTGGAAGTGGTTGTCACTGCCATCCCTCCAGATTATCTGCCCAGTCCCTTGGAGTCTGGAGGCTTTAGCCACAAGGCGTATGGTGACCTCTCATACGTGGTGGGTCTCTGGAGCCTTACTCCTTCTCTGTCATCCCTGTGAAATTGCCTTGGCCTCCATGTCCAGTCAGTTTTTCCTAGGGTGGGCGTCCTGGTAGGTTGGTTTCCTCTTTCTGTGCTATGCAACAGCAGGAGGCAGGACAGGGAGCTTATTTGTGCAGCTGCATGAATTACAGACAGTGACTGCTAATTCTCTCTGCTCCTCACTGCAGGTGGAGAGCCTGGATATCAGGTACGTGTCTGGCATGAAAGAAGCTGATTCCCTTTTCAGGAGCTTATCTCTGTCCATGGGACAGCTTATCTCTGTCTGGGACCACACAGGGGAGGGATCTTATCTCAAGTTTTAAAAGCATCGCAAATTGCACAGTGAACTGCTGGTGCTGTGCCAGGTGGGAACTGGTCCCCAGCACATGTTGGATGCTCTTCCCGGGGAGCGTGTGTGTCGAGATGGCTGGGCTGGAAGAGCAGGTGGAGGAGATGTGCTGGTTTGGAATGGGTCCAAGACCCATGCATGCTGCAAGTGGGAGCAGGGCTGATGCCAGAGACTTTGGATGCTTTAGCTTCCTGCCCTTTCTTAGCTTCTTACAACTCACAGGGCTGCAAAACTGACCGCGAGGTGCAGGTTTGTCTGAGGCTGCGAGTAACTGAGGGCTAGAACTGCCACAGGGGAGCGTGTCCCTGTCCCCTCCCTCCCCTGGGGGCTGCAGTGGGATGCAGGCCTGGCCTGTTCACCCATGCCGGAGTCGTGCTTGGTTGTGCTAGGTGCTGACCTGCTGTGACTCACCGCTCCACGAGCGGTGCTGCCAGATCTGTCTCTGTCTGCAACATCTTTGCCCCGAGCCACTTGCCGCAGCGGGTGGAGTAAGCAGCTGCCAGGGAGGTTTGTGTCCCATCTTTACCAAATGCGTTGTGCGCAGTAGCGTGCTGCAGTCCTGACTTTGTTCTTCCCGCGTGCTTTCAAGTGGCACAGCAGAGGGTTTGATTGTTGCTCTCTCTGCCCCAGGCCCTCGGTGCACGTTGAGACCCAGCCTGCCTTCGACCTGGAGCACTACAGGGACAGCTGCAGCGGCCCCTTGCAGTACATCTTCTGGAGACAGATGCTGCGGTCCATCTGCCCTGGTGAGTGGATTGGTGTGAGGGATGGATGTGGTGGATGGTGGCAGTGCCATGGATGCTCTACAGAGGGAATGTGCAACTGGTAAAATGCCATGCTTGATGCCTCTGCAGCTCCTGCCCCGCTCACCTTTGACCCTGAGTCAGCCCACCCCAACCTGGTCTTCTCCAGAGACTTGACAGCAGTGACAGAGAGGAATCGAGCCCAGCCCGTGCCCAGCAGCCCCCGGCGCTTCCGTCAGTGCGTCAATGTCCTGGGCTCACAGACCTTCAACAGCGGCCGGCACTACTGGGAGGTCTGGGTGGGCAGCAAAACCAAGTGGGACCTGGGGGTGGCTGCCGAGGCTGTGGACCGGGCGGCGAAGGTCAAGTTGTGCCCGGAGAACGGCTACTGGACACTTCGCCTGCGGAACAGGACGGAGTACTGGGCCACCGCCACCCCATGGGTGCGCCTGACTCCCCGCCGCCCCCCCCGGAAAGTGGGGGTCTTCCTGGACTGCCAGGAGGGCACTGTCACTTTCTTCGATGCTGGCGACATGTCCCACCTCTTCACCTTCCACCAGGTCTCCGCGGAGAGATACTGCCCCTTCTTCAGCACCTGCTTCAGCGATGGGAGGGACAACATGGAGCCCATGCGCCTCTGCCACCTGGCTCTGTGAGGGGCGAGGAGGAGCAGGGTGCTTCAGGGACACCAGCATGGCTCCTTCTCTCGGCCAGCCGGCTGGCTGCCTGGGGCCATGCTGTCTGCACACACGGGCCTGGTGGGGGTTGGCGGGGCTGTTTTGGTTTCAATTTTGGGAAGAAGGAGGGGGATGAGTCTCTTCCCAGCTCCTGTCTGCACTCCCTTCTCTATGCCATGGACTGTGGGTGCTCTGCTACATTCCCAGAGGTGCCTGGCACCCCTTGAACACCTTCCCATGCCTGCGCATTGCACGGTTCAGTAACCGCAGCCACAGGGCTGCAGTGGAGATGGCCACAGGCTGCTTGCGCCTCCT